CTCAATCAGACAAAAAACTCAGCATAGAACTTGGAAAATGGGCAGCAGGCCTCAACCTTAGTAAAAGAACTATTTATAAACTATTGCTGCAGGGTGAGGGAATGAAGAGTTAAGGGAGTGACTCTAGATAAGGTGACTAGACTCCAGTGGATGAACTTGAACTGAAAGACATCTGGGTACAAATGCTTGAATGGATAGGACTTAACATATATGACAGAATGCATATATTCCGGTGAAAGGGTATGGGGAGGCAAGGGATAGTGGAAGGAATTTAAATTAGATTAAGATTTATTATATGAAATGTCCAAAAAAATCATATTAAAATATTTCAATAGAATAAAGAGGATGAAAAAACTTAAAAAAACAACAAAAAGTCAAGTCTTTAAATCACTTCCGTTTTAAAGACATAGTTAAGTGTAATACTTTTTCAATTGATGTTAGTTTTCTTTGTGGGGGGGGTCTATTTGAGACAGGGTCTTCCTGTAGCCTCAGCTGTCCTAGAACTCACTATGTAGACCAGGCTGGCCTTAGACTCACAGAGATCTGCCTGATCTGCCTCCCAAGTGCTGGGATTAAAGGCGTGTGCCACCACTCCCAGCATTTTGATGTATTTTTAATGATTTTTTTTCTGTTACTTTAAAACTGCATGCATGTTTCTTTCAGTATAAATTCTCTTTATCCTTTTATTTTTGAAAAATATAATTATGTAACTGTGATACTGTGATAAAGTTTATTAGATATTGGGGTGGTTTTGGTTTACAGTTTGTATTTTCTAAATATAAAGAGTTTGGAATAATATGTCTTATTTTTAACTTGTAGTTTATAGACATTAGTATAAAATCATGAATGTCTCCTATATTAAACATCTCCAAAAAGAATAATGACTTTAATGATGATAATAAATTAATTATAAAGGCCTTCCACTATCTGTATGTGTGAATTGATATGTAAGGGGGAAAACAATCTGCATAGAAGAGATTTATCATGGTGCATGAAAGAGACAGATAAGACACTTAGCATTCTACACTTACAGTGAGAGTAGGGCCCCACTGTCCTGTGTATGAAAGCTATAAACAATCCAACACAACACACAAGGTATACAGCTAAAGGAAATCAGTAACTAAGTTACCGTCACAGAACTGCAGCTTCTTGTGATGAAAGAGAGAGAGAGAGAGAGAGAGAGAGAGAGAGAGAGAGAGAGAGAGATGCCTAAAAGATTAAGGTTTCCCATTCAGTTTCTGAGGTGGAGATTACCTGGTAGCAGCTGCTTGGGAATAATTATAAACCTGTCATACACAGTTTTGAGATGAGATAGTCATTTGTTTTTATGTTATACCTGCATGTACATAATAAGAGAACAATTAACTTATGATTCATTTCTTATTTTTTATTTTATGTATATGGATGTATTGCCTCCATATATGTAAGAGCACCTGTGTTGTGCAATGCCCATGTAGGACAGAAGAGGGTGTCAGATCCTATGGAGCTGGAGTTTTGGATGGTTGTTGACTGCCATGTGGGTGCTGGGATTCGAACCTGGGCCTTCTGAAAGAGCAACCAGTGTTCTTAACCACTGAGCTACCTCACAATCCCCAAAGTAGTCATTTAAACAAAGCTAGTTGAATAAGAAAAAATAAATAAAACAGTTGAACAATTCATTTAGTCTCAGATGAAGTTTTATTAATGGGTTCTGGAAAGTTACGTGATGCAAATTTTGCTGTTTTGAAGCAGTACAAAATATAATTTAACCATTAGCACCTTGCACACCAATAACTTAAAAAAGTCTTAATTTCCAGATATTCAAATCATTTTTAATGTTAATCCATGCACATTGCAGATCTATGTGGAATAAGGTATAATTTCCATAAGCCACACAGATTCCACAGCCTTTGCGTCCATCTAAAGAAAACAATACATTTGACTTCACAAACACTTATTAGTCCTCTGAAAAATACTGCCATTAAATTTAAAGATACAATAAAATCTCATATATTTTCAGGGTACAGTATATACTTTGTATTTTTAATACATGTGTGTGTACTACTTAGAAGAGCTTGATGTTGAAAAGTATAAAGGAGATAGAAACTTGTTTTTATATTATAACTTCAAATATTTGTGGATATTTGATAATGGTGTGGGGCTGAGGTTAGTTAGCTTGCAAAGCAACCTAGCCTAGACTCAATCTGTGTTTACAGGTAGTGCAATTTCAATGCATTGAATTAAATACTCAGATAACCATAAAAAACAGACTGACATGGAATTCACTAAGGAACCAGGCTTGGCCTCAAATATCCTGTATCATCCTGCTTTCTGCTTGGGATATAGACTTGAGTCATCATTCCAGGGTACTAGAGTGACTTTAAATAAGAAAACTTTCAGAATAGAATATTGACTGTAAAGAGGTAGCAGACTGGTATTAAAGAAGGAAAATGCACACAAAAATTGAAGTTACGTAAAGAGCACCTTTTCAGCATAAATGGATCTTTTTAAGTATACCGTTGAATTAAATTGATTTCCTTACACTAATGTTGTAGGAAATAAGCAATTTTATATAACAATGAATACATGGGGCTGGAGAGATGGATCACTGATTGAGAGCACTGCCTGCTCTTGCAGAGGACCAGGTTGGGTACGCAGCATCCACATGGCAGCTATCAACCGTCTTAATTCCAGTTCCAGGGGATCTGACACCCTCTTTTGACTTCTGTGACCATTCCACAACACAGGTGCACTTACATACATGCAGGCAATAAATCCATATATATATATATATTAAAAATAATAAATGAATCATAAATTAGTTGTTCCATTTCC